ATTGGGGTTGATTGGCTTGATTTGTGGAAATCAAATAAAAGTGGATCTACTGAAATCTAGCCCGACAGCGCTGTTCATATAGTGAACATCGCTGTTTTGGCTTTGACTTTCCTTTAAAAATGGCTAACGGTCATCAAAACATCGATGTCTAGAAGTCTACATCGATGTTGGGGTGTTTGACTTTCAAAAATGGAAAGATTTTGTCTTAAATAGCCCAACGGTCATTTGAAAACATCGCTGTTCAACAATGAACATCGCTGTTCAAAAACCTACTGCCCAAGACTACCGTGAGCCAATCTGGCCAAAACATAGATGTTCAAATCTCAACATCGTTGTTCAGACATAGATGTTCAAATCCCAACATCGCTGTCCAGACATCTCTGTTCAAGATCCTACATCTATGTTGGGCCTGCTCGCCAGAACCATGGTTTGACAGCCAACGCCGAAAACCGATGTCAAAAACCAAAGTTCTCCAAAATGAAAACCAAGTGTTGGAAACTATTATATAATGTATTTAATGTAGAAACCAAGTATAAAAACTTAAAAACCACTTCATTAAGGTAAAAATCACGGCTAGCGAAGTTTATGCTGTTTCACATGGTTTTCACCAAAAGACCAAAAACGAAAGGTGGTTTTTAACATGTTTTTGTTGGAGAACCATTTGGATATGTCCAGAAGTAAAAACCAATCATAAAATATTAAAAACCACTTGATTGATTTGGACGCCAAAAACCAGCACCGATAACCAGCGCCGAATGCCAATAACCAACGCCAAAAAAACAAAGGTTATGGTTTTTGAAAACTAATGATTTGGAAAACCTTTTAATGTGTCAAGAAGCATAAAACAAGGATAAAAACCCAAAAACCATTTGGTTAAAATCAATGCCAATAACCAATGCCGAAAACCGAACACCATAGCCGAACGCCGATAACCGATGGTTATGGTTTTTGTTAAGCAAGAACCATGGGTTTTAGAAACATAAAAACCATTTATGAAAACACTCATTTGATGCATGAAAAACATATTTTTTTTTTGAGCCATGACGTAGAAAATTGAATGAGCTTGTTACAATAAAAACCTAAGTATTTAGAATACGTCTTCAAAACGCCAATGTCGCCATCTTTAGCAGCGTCAATGCCTTTCTTGTGCTTTTTTTTTCTTCAAAGAACTTTTTTTATCTCTTTGAATCTTTTCATTTTGTTCCATGTTCCCGACGGTTTGTCAATATCAAAACCTAAACGAAAACAAACATTGTCATTAGCAAAATGTCAAAGAGAAAATGTTTTCCAACACTTTCTTTTGTGGAGAATAATTAAAAATGGTGAAGAAGTACCCACAAAGAAAGTTGGGGAAACCATCATGCACAAAACCGAAGATGAGTATGATGAGCGGGATATCAAGAAGATAGAAAACAACGCCAAGGCTATTAACATCATCTATTGTGCCGTAAACCCGGATGACTACCGGAAGATCTCTTGTTGTTCCACCGCCAAGGAAATGTGGGACAAGCTAGAAATCACATATGAAGGTACGCATCAAGTCCGAGAAGCTAAGATAGATTTTCTAACCCATGAGTATGAACTATTTCGTATGAAGGAGAACGAGAAAATCGACGATATGTTTGAACGATTTTCAAAAATTGTAAACGATCTTCATGCTCTCAAGAAGACATACACGGACAAGGAGCTTGTGAGAAAAATCCTGCGGAGTCTCACACCAGAATGGCGCTCCAAAGCCGATGCTATCCAAGAATCTATCAGCATCACCAGTGTCACCATTGACGGGCTTAGAGGTAACCTCAAAACCTATGAGTCTACCATTCTTTACCCCTCTTTAGGTGAAGAAAAGAAGAATGGGATTGCACTCAAGGCGTCCACAAGTCAAGAACGTGATGTGGAGGACTCGAGTGACAAAGAAGAGTTCGGGGTCGTGCTTAAGAAATTCCATAAGTTCATGCGCAAGGAGTTTGAACGAAAAGGAAAGAAGCAAGGAGAAACACCCAAATGCTATGGGTGTGGAGAAGTTGGGCATATAAAACCAAAATGCCCAAATACCAAGAATGAGAAGAAACCGTTCAAGAAGCACCGAGCTTACATCTCGTGGGGAGGTGATTCCGACGACGAGTCATCGGAAGGCGAAGAAAATGAGAGCGCCAACCTTTGCCTCATGGCACACGAGGAACCACCAGAAGAGGTATGTACCACTTCTAAAGATTCCTATACTTTTGATGATATACAAGAAGCCTTTAATGAACTTTATGATGAATATGTCAACGCTTCTAAAATTAACAAGGATTTGAAGAAACAACTTACTTCCATAGAGAAGGAAGTTGATAAACTATCAAAAGATAATGAACAACTTAGAGAAGAAAATAAGTTTATCCGAAAAAGAAGCGCCGACAAACCGGAAAGTTCAAAATGTAGTTCTTGTATATCACTTAAGGATCAAGTTGCAAAACTTGAAGGAACTTTGACGAAGTTTGGTGTTTCTCATAAAAACCTTAATGATGTTCTTGACAATTTGCAACTTACTAAACATGGCTTAGGTTTTGAAAATGAACCTAATAATAAGGAAAAAGTTGAGCAACCATCTAGGAAACCTAAAGCTCAACTTAGGAATAATGAAAATCAAGAAAATAGACAACCTAGAACAATTAGGAACACTAGACCACCTAGAAGGAACACTAGGATGAACAATGGTCAAGTTAGAAAACCTAGGAACTATTATCAACCTAGGAGAATGCATAATCCAAATGTTATTTGTCATTATCGCAATAGGGTAGGTCATATAGAACCCGTATGTTTTAGTAGGCATAGGCATTACACGTATAACAAAACACTCACTTTGCATGGAACTAACCTAATGAAATCCTTTGAAAAAGGATATTCGAACTCTAACCAATCCCTGCAGGAATCAACGCAAAAGAAACCATATTACTTCTTCTATTATGATGAAAAGAAGAAGGTTCACATACCACTTCCGGAACCCACACAAATCTAACCGAAGTATAGACATTCGGTTCAAGTAGTCTGGAACCCGCCAACCGCAAAACGACGAGTTGGCCAAGGTAACACTTAAACACGCGTGTTGACACGTGTGTGTGTGTGTGTATGCATGTGTGTGTTTGTGGGCCATGTGTGTAATTAAGAGTGCGTGTGTTTATTACTTCAAAAAGTCGTGTTACTAATCCTCAAGGACCCAAAAGACCAAACGGGTACCAAATGCTTTCATTGTAGGTGTTGAAGCCAGGGGGAACAAAAGAAATCGATTTCAAGCTCCCAGGACTAAGTATAAATCGATTTACAGGTTGTGATAATCGACTATCACAGCCCGCGGAAGTTTGGAGCAAATCCATCGCAAAACCTCAAAAATCGATTATCCAAGTCATGATAATCGATTATATGGAGCTGTAGAACTTTCTCTGAAGTCAGGCGCAAACTCCTACAATCGATTGACTAAAACAAGGAAATCGACTATTGAAGTCTGCAGATCTTTCGGCGGAGAATCTGAAGACTCAGATAATCGATTTACAAGTTGGGTAAATCGATTACCAACGGCAGATTTTCAAAAATCTGACCGTTTTCTAACCGTTGGAACTGCATTAAACTCACATTTGACCACACCAACGGATCTTCAGACCTCCTCCACTATAAATTGGTGATATCCCTTCAATATTTACTCATTCCAATCATCTTCTCTCAATATATTCATCATAATTCATCATTCTTGCAATAGTTCTTCATTTTTTTTATATAAAATTTCTGCAAATTTGTTCTCTCCTCTCTCTTGTTACAATGGCAGGCGGTTAGAGAAAGCGTTCCCGCACCGGCAAGAACGTTGCCTCCTCCTCAGCTCCTCAACCATCGACGCACAAGTACCTCGACGGGTCCTCAATAATGTATGTGGATCGGGTGTGGAAAACCCATCTGTAGATTCGTCACGATCCAACTATTCAAACGCAAACGCTTAGAATAAATCTTGTTGTTCAAATCCCTTGATTGTATCAATTATTGTAAACCTTTGCAATTTCTATCGCGAACTCAGCTACTCAAATAAAGAATCCTAATAAAGGAATTTTTGTTACATGTAGAATGAGTCAAGAAACTACCCACGGACAAGGCAACAACAAACACGTAAGTGTTCACATCGAAGCATCTAGCTTTACTCCTCCTATTCAAAATGAGCCTGTTAATCAACAGAATGCTCCTCAGAACAATGCTAATGCCGGTGGTCAACAAGACTACGCTATACCAATTTGTTGCAACAAATGGCCAATGCTCCGATGTTTCAACCACCGCCCCCACTGCCCCAACGTGTGGTTACTTTGAAAACATTAAAAGACAATGGTGCCGAAGAATTTTTTGGCGATCGTATCGCCAAACACCAAATTGCTTGGGACTAGATCGAGCAGACTGCTCGAGTGTTGGGAGATCTGAACGTACCTCTTAACGACTACCCGAGGCTTGCAACAAAATTACTTCGCAGAGAAGCCTACGAGTGGTGGAAACGCACTGATGAGAGCGATGAAACCCCGAAACCATGGACATGGGAATTCTTCGATTGGGCATTTAAAAAGGAGTATATTCCAGCACGTTTCCGTGAAGAGAAACACACGGAATTTGTTGAGTTGCGACAAGGGGATATGACGCTCCCCGAATATCGCCAAAAATTTGTCAGTCTCGCCAAATTTGCACCAACGTTGGTGAGCACCAGAACTGGTCGTATTGAGGAGATCAGGTCAAAACTCCAACCTGATCTTAGGGCACAAGTATCCGTCATACCACGGTAGATTTTACAGCTGCTTATGATTTGATCGTAAAGCGGACAAAGACTTGAGTGCTTGCAAAGAATACTTGAAGAAAGAAGGTTTTGGTCCAAGTGATCGTCGCTCTGCAAGTTCCGCCCCAAGTGGGAAAAGACCATTTCAAGGACCTAGCAACTCACAACACTCTAAGAAGGGGAAATCTGTCCAAACCCAGTCTGTAGGATTTGTTGATAAGATGAGGAAGTAGAAGCACCCGAAATGAGAGTCATGTGGGAGGAATCATCCTGGTGAATGCTAGTTGAAAAAGGGCCTATGTTTAGGATGCGGAAAACCTGGACATTTCCAAAGGGAGTGTCCTACCAATCCTGGAGAACCATTTCCACCCGCACTTGTCGCTAGTCAGACAATGTCAGCACGTCCCGCTCCTAGTCAACGTTCGACTGCAAGATCTAATCTTGTTAAAAATCAAAACCAACAGCAAGGACGAGCGCCTGCCCGTACGTATGCAATGAAAGGACGCACTGAAGAGAACCCTGATGTCATTCAGTGTATGTTTTCATTATTTGATACTATCATGCATGTGTTGATAGACCCTAGATCGACATTATATTACATCTGTGTACCTATGCCTGACAACGCTGATATACTAAAAGAAAACTTAGAATACCCTATACTAGTTTCTAATCCACTAGGACATAGTATGAGGTTACATCACGTATATCAAGATTGTTTGTTGATTGTCGAAAGACAACAATTCCTTGCAAATCTTGTTGAATTACCGTACAAGGAATTCGACGTCATCCTCGGTATGGATTGGCTTACTAAACATCAAGCTGTTATCGATTGCCGAGGACAAGTGTTACAACTGAAAACCAAAGTCTATAGAGGTGAAAGAAAAGCTAACACCTAAACCCACGGAGTTCATCTCATATATACATGCTAGACGTCTCATCCGCAAGAAATGTGAAGCCTATCTATGTAATGTACGAGACACGTCAAAAGAAACTCCTGAATTGAAAGATATACTTAATTGATAATTAATTAACGCCTGAATTGTAACGCCCCGAAAATAGGCCTATCAGAATTACTTAATTGATAATTAATTAATTACTGAGAAGGACCCAAAAATATGTGATTTATAAAGTTTGTCAATAAATAATAAAAATTATATCATTATGTAGAGTTTAACTGTCTGATTCCAACGGTTCAATCGGATTTCAATTCGGGGATAGTTGGACCAAAATGTGTTCCCCGACTGGGACCAAATTAGTCCGAATCAGGGACTTACGTTTAAAATCGGAGAAGGACCGCAGGCCACTTCACTCTGCCGCTTAAACACGAAAGCTTTCATCAGACACCATGGCTTCTTCCTCTTCCTTCTCCTATAAAAGGCTACCACAACTCCCTCCATTCTTCACCATTTCTTATAAAAAATTACATTCTATTATATTCCTTGTTGAGAGAGGAGTGCAGTGGTGTTGTCATCTTAGTGAGAGGTCCCCGGAGTTGGGAGTAATCGTCGCCGGAAGTTTTGCCAGAAAATCTTCAAAACCTTCATTTACCTTCGAGGTAAGCCCGTAGATATATCTAGTGACTAGAATGTTCATATAGATCGTTTCTACGTTCATAAACGGTCATTTGGTTGAGTTTTGTGTTTGACATACTTAAAGAACCAAGAATCATAAACCATGAAATTGTTGTTAAAACTATGAACTAATGTTACCAAAATGATCTATGAACCTTGAAGAACAATTCTATATACTTTAGCTGAAGTTTGGTGACTAAAAATGACATTTTCGAAAGTTGGCTCGAGGTAGAAGACGATGCAAAATCAATTTTTCATAAATTAATCGATTAGACTTTCGTCTGCTGAAGAAAACAAATCCAACAGAGGAAAAATCGATTATTATACTATAAAAATCCATTATTAAGTATAAAAATCGATTATGTAATAATAAAAATCATTTTTTACATTTTTCCACTGAAGAAATTGAAGCCAGTAGCAATTGATCGATTTTCCTATCATATATTAATCGATTATTGTTTAGAAAACATGGTTTTTGAGCTATGAAATCCTATTTTTGATACCAATTTATTATGATCATTATAAGGATGATTTTTCATGATAAAAATGATGTTTTTGGTAAATAAAACCTTATGTGATGCATGACGGTAAGTTAGAGTGTTAACACTCGAAACTAGGCTGCTATTTGTTATTGGATGTTATGTTGATTGATGCATATGATGAATGATTATTATGATGATTATGATTTGGTGAACCCACTGATTAAAATGATTATTGAGGATTAAACTATGAATTGAAATGAATACATTGGTGATTATGAAATGATTTGGATTGTAAGGATATCTAGAAGAACTCTAAGATATACCTAGGTTGACATTGGTTTCTAAGACTATATAGAAGACCTCTAAGATAGCTTAGATATAGGCCTTGCGGGTATAATTATGAATATTCGGTGGCTTGGGTTAAAACGTACGTACGGGATCTACAAACCAAACTTGAGGATCACTCATTTGGGGATACCACCCAACCCGACAGTGAGCATTCCACTGTTCGGTTTCTGGTTGACCTTAAGCGAAGGTAAGTTTTATCTTAAACTAGGCCTAGCTTGAGGATTTGATAAAAGTACCTTAGACTAGAATATAGTTTAAGAATTGATTAGAAATATCTTAAACTAGAATTCGTTTAAGGATTGACAATTATTAAAGTGATTGGCCTTAGACTAAGAATAGTTTAAGGATATTGTTGAATGTTGAATGTTGAATATTGAATAATAAATATTGAATATGAATAAATATTGAATGATGAATATTGAATTGAATATTGTAATTATTATGAATGAGAGATAAACGTTGAATGTGAAAATAAAATAATGAATGATGAATATTGACTAATGAGTATTGAATATCTGAACTGAACATTATGTGCATGATATCAAATGATTTGATTATGAATTTAGATTTAGTTTATATGCATGTTTGATGCATTAGATATGCTTACTCAGCTTAGACGCTGAGCGTGTAGTATGTTTTATTTGCTTCACGCAGGTAAACAAAAAGAATGAAGCAATGATTTCTGGGAGGCACATGGGACGAGATGGTCGGGCGGATGTGTGTTTTGGATTTGAAATACTGTTTGAAAAGACATAAATTGATTATGTTTGTATTATGTTTTTATTAAGCTTCCGCAACATTAAATTACTCCGTTATTATTTTGAATGACTTATTATGAAATAAAATTTTAAATGTTTGAAATATTTTTGAATATCTACGAATACCAAGATTATACTTTAGTCCGAAAGAGGCTGCAGATCTGGACGGATTAGAGTGTTACACGACAGACGGTGTGAGATGGTCAATGTGGATGTGTGAAATGAATTAAAGTTTAAAAAGACATAATATTATTATGTTTTGTAATTGTTATTTACTCAGCTTCCGCAACCTTAAATTATTCCGTTATTATTCTGAATAATTTATTATGAAATGAAGTTTTAAAATGCTTGAAATCTTTTGAACGTTTACGAATACCAAGTTTATACTTTAGTCCGAAAGAGGATGTGAAAGTCGGTTTACACCCTAAGAGGGGGGTGAATTGTAAGGCTGTGAAAGTCGGTTTACGAATACCAAGTTTATACTTTCACATTGTAAGGCTGTGAAAGTTGGCTTCACTAAGAAGACTCAAACGAGGTTTGGCAAACAACCCTTGCCAATAAGCAAATGAGATTTTACTACGGCTATCTCAACCGTTTACAACCGAAGATTTTAAGGCTATCTTCAACCTTACAATGGGGATTTAGAGGCTATCCACCCCTTTTACAAATCAATAAAAAGATTGGTGTTGCTTCTCTATCAAAATGATAACAAATGTAAGTTGGGTAGGAGAATAACAAAAGATTAAATCAACAACAACAAAAGCCTATAAGAAAGATATAAAATAATGAAGCACAAATGCCCTTGTGTGTGAGTGTATGAAAATAGTGAAAGCTTTTTGCTCAAAAGAGTAAGAAAAATAAGAACAAAGCTTTAAGAAAACTCAAGAATAGAGAAAGAGGCTTTAGATTTAATTGGGAAGTTGTTGTTAATAAAATGAGGCTTAGAGAGGGTTTATATAGGAGTTTGGAATGTTAAAATATGAATTTTTAACCTTAAATGCCGTTAGGAAGTGATTAGGGGTGATTTCAATTTAAATTGGCAATTTGCTACAATGCTATAACGGATCCGGTACCCTTCACGGTAGGGTCAGTACCGTCCGGTACCTAGGTACCGTGACCCACGGTATGGCCTACCGTTTGGGGGTACCGTGTAACCCAAAAGATTGGTTAGCCTCTGGCGGTAGGGGGTTAGGACGGGTTGGCCCAACCGTCTGTGCCTACCGTCTGGTACCCAGGTACCGTTACGCGGTAGGGGGGGTACCGTGTAACACTTGGGTGAAACGTACAGCGGTACGTTCACTTGGCTACCAGCAGTACCATGGTGCCGTGTACACGGTAGCAAGGTACCGTATGACCTGTGCAATTTTTCCAAAACTCATTTTTCGTGTTCCATTTTCAAAATAACCCCAACTAAGAATATTTTTGACATTTTAGAAATAATTTTTGAGTGAAAGGGCATAGGTAAATCATTAAAATATATCATTACCTTTACACAATAATTTCTAAACTCGAAGGAGTATATCTCGGTGATGCTAAACAAGCTAATAGAGGTTTGGCGTTTGTTTTCTTCCTGCAAAAGATGTTAGTGACATTTGGAAGACTTATTTGGCACATCAAAACGGTTACGGGGTACGGCATTCAAGGCCAACAATCTCCCCCTTTTTGATGTTGACAAATAAGGCTTTCGAATATAATAATCAAACGCACAAACATATCGTGAAAAGCATATATTGATTTTAAAACTCCCCCTAAGTTGATGCACATTATATTTTGACAAAAGCTCCCCCTAAATTTATGCATGTGAAAGCCTAATATTTCTCCCCCTTTTGGCAACATTCAAAAAGGCGGGGTACCAAAAACATGAACTTCAACACATAGGCATTCATCACGGCAATATTATAAGCATTCAAGTAAACCATAAGCATAATCATAACAAAGGTGTTTGAGTCATACAAGTGCATAAATAAGAGTTTGAAACATAAGACATGATAAGGAGTTTGAAACAAAATAAACAATTGATTTGAAAACATAGATAAGTGAATGTTTGATCATTTTGTAAAATGCTCAACACTTAGCGGCGTCTAGAAGCATGATCCTCGTTTTGCTTTTGGCGATTCTCACGGTCCTCAATCTTCTTCATCTGATCTGAGAGGTCATCGAGGCTTTCTTGAATCTTCCTCATCGGAGCCACCACGGTCTTGAGGATGAACTTCTTGAACTTCTTAAACGGATTTTTGGAAGTTGAAGCCATGTGAGAGTGACGATGCATGAGAGAGGTCGAGGAAGCATGAGACGCCGACTTTGAGCGTTTGACCCGAGGAGCACGAACGGGGACTTCCGTGTTGGCATTTTCTTTGGCTTCGGCTTGGGGTGCTCGTGAAGTGGAAGGCAAAGATGACATGGAACGCCGAGGACCATACTCCGCTCGTGTCGCCTCAACAAGATTTTGGAACTCTTTCTTCATGTAGTACTCCTCTCCAATCTTTACGAGGCCACAATAGCCAAGGCACTCCACGTCAAGATAGCGGACACGAGAAGGGCGCACCTCAAGAATTTCCCTCTTGGCAAAGATGTGGGTAAGAAGCATGGCATAGGGTTTGTTTAGGAGATTGGAGCATTCGTGCATGTGTTTAAGGATGATGGAAGGAAGATTGATTTTCTTGTGAGTGAGGAGCCAATATAAGAGAGTGCATTCATAATCCCCAACTTGTTTATCTTTGTTAAGGACCAGGATGACATTTTCTTTGAGGATTTTGAGGAGGATGAACCTATTTGCGGGCAAGTCTTGGACATTGGGCCGATGAACAAGTAGTTCGGGTCCTCAAAGACATGGTCAAGGGCAATGTTGCTTAGCACTCGGAGACAAGAATCGGATTTAAAGTCTCGTGAGTCGGTAATCCACCCTTTTTTGCAATAGGTGGAGACTCCTTGACGCTCTAGGTGAAACCATTCGGAAAGGTTTTGGGTGTTGAATCCGAAGGTTTTGCCGGCTACAACGGCGGTAATGGAAAGATCTTGGGGATGATATTTCATTGAGGAATAAAATTGATGAACGAGTTCAGGGTAAACGGGGGCTAGGAGTTGAAGAAAGAAACTCCAACCTTGTTCTTGAATTAGTTCAAGAACGGGAACCGGGATTTCATCTTGTTTAAGGGTTCTCCCTTCGATGATATGTGGTTCGGCGTAAGCCTTGAACCCGGCTTGAACATCGGGGACAATTTCACTCATATTTGGAGTTTTTGAGAAAATAGGTAATTTTGAAGAGAGTATATGAAGTAATTGATGAATTGAATCAAATATATGAAGATATTTAAGAGATTGGATGAAGAATTACCTAGGTTGAGGAAGGAACCAACTTACGGGAGAGAGAGACGGGCAGAACCGAAGTGGGAAAACTAGGGTTTTAATAAGATTTGACCTGACGAGACGGTCGGTACCTTTGTACCGTTCAAATGGTACCCTAGTACCGTGTATACGGTATGCCATACCGTGTCTAGGTACCGTGTAGCTTCCAAAATCCAATCTCCTCTGGCGGTACCTATTTAGGGCGGGACCTTGGTACCGTCAGGGGTACCGTGGCTCAGACGTAATGTTTTGTTTCGACCTCTAGACGCGTGTTTTGAGCATTTGGACTTGATCAATTTAGTTTTATGATGTAATGGGATAATAAGAACCTTAAATTTTACTTTAATTCAAGCATTCCCATTTCCCGACAAATATGTAAAAATTGTTTTTCATCCAATGGTTTTGTAAAAATGTCGGCACGTTGTTCAAGTGTATTTACATATTCAATTTGAATATCTTCCTTTGCAACATGATCACGTATGAAATGATGTCTTATTTCTATATGTTTAGTTCTAGAATGCAAAACGGGATTTTTGGAAATATTTATTGCACTCGAATTGTCACAAAAAATAGGCACTTTTGAAAATTTTAAGTTAAAGTCACTTAGTGTTTGCATCATCCATAAAATTTGAGCAACACAACTACCCATAGTCACATGTTCCGCTTCGGCGGTGGATAGGGCGACAGAGTGTTGTTTCTTAGATGACCAAGACACTGGTGCATGACCTATGAATTGACATGTGCCACTTGTGCTTTTCCGATCAATACGACACCCTCCAAAGTCGGCATCACTAAAACCTATCAAGCTTAAATTCGTATTCTTAGGATACCATAAACCCATATTGGTCGTTCCCTTGACATATCGAATTATTCGCTTGACGGCATTAAGATGTGATTCTTTAGGTGATGATTGGAAACGTGCACAAAGACAAACGGAAAACATGATGTCGGGTCTAGATGCAGTTAAATAAAGTAAACTACCAATCATACCTCGATATACCTTTTCATTTACGGGTTTTCCGCTTTCGTCATTGTCAAGCTTTAAGGATGTGCTCATTGGAGTCGGGTATGTCTTTGAGTCTTCAAGGTTGAACTTCTTGACCAATTCTTTGGCATACTTGGTTTGACTAATGAAAATGCCATCTCCAAGTTGCTTGATTTGAAGTCCAAGGAAGAAGTTCAACTCACCCATCATACTCATTTCAAATTCGCTTGTCATAATTCCTGAAAATTCATTACATAAGGCTTCATTAGTTGACCCAAAAATAATATTATCAACATAAATTTGCACAATTATGAGATCCTTTCCTTTTGTTTTGACAAAAAGTGTGGACTCGATCTTTCCTTTTGCAAATCCATGTGAGATGAGATGTTCGGTAAGCCGCTCATACCAAGCTCTAGGAGATTGTTTGAGTCCATAAAGGGCCTTATGAAGTTTAAAAACATGATTTGGAAAATCAAGATTTTCAAAACCGGAAGGTTGTTCAACATAAACTTCTTCTTTCAACCACCCATTTAGAAAAGCACTTTTTACATCCATTTGAAAAAGTTTGAAATTAAGAGCACTTGCAAAAGCTAATAACATTCGAATAGATTCAAGCCTAGCAACCGGAGCAAAAGTTTCATCATAGTCAAGTCCTTCAACTTGGCTATAGCCTTTAGCAACAAGTTGACTTTTATTGGTGATAATAACACCATTTTCATCAAGCTTGTTTCTAAAGACCCATTTAGTGCCCACAACGGGTCGGTTTTCCAGTCTTTCGACTAGTTCCCAAACCTTGTTGCGTTCAAATTGCTCAAGCTCTAGTTGCATGGATATAATCCAATCACTATCTTTTAGTGCATCTTCTACGTTCTTAGGTTCAAATTGACTAACGAATGCATAGTGTGCACAAAGATTGTAATTGTTTCTAGTTCTAACTCCCTTTTCAATATCTCCAATGATATTGTTTCTTGGATGATTCTTCAAGTGTTTGTATGCCTTCGGTAGTTCCTTCTTTGCACTTTCTTCTTCTTGCGCAGGAATTTCCAAGATTTCTTCTTCCTCTTCTTCTTCATTTGAACCTGCAATTACCTTACTCGACCCAAAGGGATCGGTTTCATCAAATTTTACATGCATAGATTCTTCTACTTTATGATTTGATTTATTATATACCCTATAAGCTCTACTATTTGTTGAATAACCAAGGAAAATTCTATCATTTGATTTAGGCTCAAATTTGCCTAAATGATCCTTGGTATTCAAAATATAGCATTTACACCCAAAAACTTTGAAATAGGAAATGTTTGGTTTTCTACCTTTCCAAAGTTCATAGGGAGTCTTTTTAATAATAGGTCTAAGTAATACCCGGTTAAGAACGTAGCATGCCGTGTTGACCGCTTCTCCCCAAAAATATTGAGGTAGGTTGTGTTCATTCAACATGGTCCTTGACATTTCTTGCAACGTCCTATTTTTCCTTTCAACGACTCCATTTTGTTGAGGTGTTCTAGGAGCCGAAAAGTTGTGAGAAATACCGTGTTCATCACAATATGTCTCAAAATCGGTATTCCGGTATTCTCCTCCTCTATCACTTTTAAT